CGACTACGCGGCCTCGTGGGCCAACGAACTACGTCCCGTCCTTGAGCCGCGCGGAGGCTGCCCTGGAGTTCTTGGATCAGGAGGTGATCGACGTGGAGTCTGGGATCGAGGCCTGCACGCAGGCCCTGCATTCGGCGTGCCAGATCTTCGCCAGTGATGTGGCGAAGGCCATCAGCATCCGTACTGACGCGCCGATCAAGCTGCCCACCATTCCGAGCGTAGGCCAGCCCAAGGTCCGCTGGGCGCCAGGAGCTGCCAGGGAGGTTGAACCCAGGGCCAATTGGGGAAGCCTTTCGAGCCCTATCAGATGGTTGAAACACAATGCTATGGAAGTTATCCGACGTGTCCATTCCTGGAAAGAGTTTATATTTCGAAGATGTTGGCCAGTGTCCAGTCACCGCCGCCCGAGCTTGAAAGCGCCGAAGAGTTTGCTCGCTTGCTGGCCAGTGCTCGAACAGCTGTAGGTGCAGCAGCTCATGATCAGGATGACGGCCAGATGTGCCCCGCAACTGGTCCTGAAGGTATTCGAAGGGCAAGATGAATCAGTGGATCGAGCGCTACAAGCTGAGGGGACCAATGATCGTCAAAACGAAACCACTTCGTGGAACGACTGGGTCCAGGAGGCCATGTCTCGCGGGGTCGGGCGGGCTCATCGTTGGACCTCAAAAGCATACGGCCTGGCAGCCTCAGAAACTTGTTGCGCCCCGGTCTGCAGTCCTTACCAGGCCGCCAGTTTGTGCTGCTCCAGTCTGGGGCGTCTCGACTGGCCAGTCCATGGCAGGCCGCGCCGCAGGTGCAAGATTTCAGCTTGCCGTCGCCCGAGCGTGACCAGCCGGGGCCCATCGCGCCTTGACAGAGCAGATCGGCCAAGAGATTTCCCAAGTCTACCAGTCAGACCTGGGATGCATTTCACTCCCATCATTTTGCGTATTTGAGCAACGCTGAGTTAGTACATGTTTGAAAGCTTTTGGCTGCGGTCGAAGATGTTTTTTCCCGCAGCTATCCGCAATCTTATATTACCTTTGATTGAGGGGCACAAAGCTTGGAGGGCGCGGTCCACAATCCGTCGAGTGGAAGCCCGCAGGTGGGAACGGCCCAACGAGAGACCCGATCTGTCTGGTCGAGGAGTGATAGAATCGGTGCATGCCCAGGCCCTTGAAGCGGAGCTAGCGGGATATCGGGCTGTTCATGCTGGAAGTATTCTCTGGGATTTTTCTAACTATTTCGAACGCGTGAATCGGCATAAATGGAATTCTCGGGCTCTTTCATCGGGGATTCTCGGGGGCGCTCGCCTGCCTCGTGATGAACCGATGCGGGGGGCCTCGGGTTGTTGCCGCCAGAACCTTGGCCATGTGTGCTGGTTGTGCTTCCGGGGGTTCCCCTGCTGGCTGCTGGCTCGCGACCTGGAGCTTTCAAATGTATCCGGCGCCCCCCGTGGGCCCCTGGGCCCCGACGTTCCCCGCCGTGGCCCCCTCAATCTTCATTGGCGGTTTCGCGCTGGGCGGCCGCGACGCTGGCGTCCGTCTCCTGGCGTCGGATTTGGCGCAGGCCTCCGACAGCGTGCTGTATCTAATCGAAGACCTCGGCTGCGCGGTTGCCCTGCACAAGGCGGCGGCGCTGGACCTGTCTGCCGAAGTGCAAGCGCGCCTCGCCAGAGGTCTGAGGTCGTCGTCCGCGCCGGACCTCTGCGTCGATTTCACCGCGGGAAACGAGGTATCAAAAAAGGCCCGCTCGACGCTGCGGAAAACGAACTGGTATGAAGAAACGGCGACTCCACCGTTTGGTGCAGCGTAGGCGGGCAGGTGCAAGCATGGGGAACATTGGTCAGACTGATTTGAAGGCGGCCGCCTACTACGGCGCCGAGGTCGTCGCCCTCGCGAACCCCGAGCTGCGCGAGGTGCAGCCCATGTATCTGAAGATTGTAGGGCCCTGCTGTGCTACCAGATCCCGCCCCCTGGCTTCATCTATCTTGGGTGGCCCGACCTGGAGTGCTGTCATGGGGCCTGCTTGCTTGGAACAATCTGCATCGCCCTGCCCGAGCTCAGAGCCCACGCCCTGGAAGTTCTCAGCGAGACCCCGACGAAATGGTTCTCGATCCGAGGGACCCTAGGGGCCACTCTGCTCAGCCTCGCTCGTCTGGGATGGCCCATGCCCGACCCGCTCGTCTTCCAAGACTCGGAAGGCCAGGAGCGCCCTCTCATCGCGACCTCCCCCGCCCTCATAAAGCAATTGTTTCAGTCCCAGTGGCAGTTGCAGCTCGACGTCCAGGCCGGCGCAGAAGCTGGGGCCCGACGGGCCGCTAGACCCGTCGGTCACGCAGCGCGCTACGAGAGTGAAGCCGAATGTGAGATGTGCAGGGGCCCCGTGGGTTCTCTTCCCCACGGGCTCTCTGGCTGCCCTGGGACCCGCAACCGCGAGGGGAAAAGTTGAAAGATGGAGACATCGAGGAGCTCAAGGGCCCGAGGAGAGGCTTTCCCTGCGTGATGGGGCGTCAGCTCCGACCCGAACCTATAGCTTCGAGGCCCCCTGGACTAGGTCTAGGTCAGACGCCCATTGGTCTCGTGATGGTCAGCCGAAGGAGGTGGCCATGGAAGGAGAAGCTTTCCATGATGGCGGCGTTTGAATCACTGGGCCCGCCGTCTACGATGCAAACGCCTGCTACAAGGTCAAAATCGATGAGGAGGGCGACCTAGTTGCCAGCCTCGCAGGCCCCGTGGGGGCCAGCCTGCCCCTCAATTCGCCCGCTGCCGACCACTTCGGATTCCTCGCTGCTGTGCCGTGCCCCAGAATCACGAAAGCGTGGGCGGATGTTAAAAAACATCCTCTCGGTCCAACAGAGCCCCGGGTTTGGTAGGAAGGACATGTATTCTAGTGTTTCAGTTATGGCCAGGGGCAGAAGTAGTTTCAAGTCCCTCGGTATTGCGAAAATTCGGGCCCACCAGGATACAGAGACCCTGGAGGCTGGCTCGAGGGACTGGTTTCTTGCCAAGGGTAACGGGCTGGGCGGACAAGGTCGCCAAGCAAGCTGCGGCCAGAATTCCCGCCCCGCCCCGGATGGATATCGACTGCTGTATAAACGCGCGCAGTCGAATCCTACGTTCTGTGAAGTATGCAGCATGCAGCGGAAGCGAGTTCCAACCCTCCTGTGGGGGCAGCGGGGGCGGTCAATCAGTGGACCGACCCCTTTTCACCACCAGCGGGTCAGCCTCGGCGTGCTCGTGCGTGCTTTATTTAACTCGCATATTGGCGCCGTGCAACAGTGGGCGTGGTTGAATAATCAATGGCTGCGCCTTGCCTGCTGCATCCGAACTAGAACGGATAGCACCCGCAAGTCTCGCTCGCATGTTTGAATCGTGCCCATGTAACTTTGTTGCCTTGTCCTGCCTCACTAGAGACCCCCATCAACACACATTAGTGATCTGTGATTGCCTAGATCTCAAGTCCTTCATTGTGGTGTGCCAGCGATGCGGTCGCTACACACAGAATAATCACAGAGGGCTCAGGACTGAATGCAAGGGGGAGCGTTTCTGAAACAAGTTCTCCCAAGGTGCGTGGTCTCTCCTGGCTGGCGGCCGACACCCCAAGAGCAACATGTCGGCCCGCCCCCGACTTTCCCTGCCAATCCCTGCCGCTCAACTCCTCAAGGAAGGAGAAGCGTGGCATGCATAATGAAAGCGTAAATGGATATCGGATGTAACCTCAAGGTTTCGGTTAGGGTCGGGTCGGCCTAACCCTAACCTCCCCCCATAGCCTGTGATGGTCCTCCTCCTCCTCGTCCTCCTCCTCGTCGCCATCCTCGTCCTCGTCCTCGTCCTCGTCCTCCCAGTCGCCGTGGTCGTCAACGAGGGCGATTGCGCCGACAAGAAGGACGGACGACGACGAAAACAACGACAACGACGACGAGGACAAGGACGAGGACGGCGACGACAAACGACGACGGCGACGACGCTGACGACGACGACGATGACGCAACGCGGATGCCCCATGGGCCTATGGGGTGGTGGTGCTGCGTAGAAGGCCCGTTGCAGTCCACGACGGCGACGACCCCTGCGGATGCCCCATGGGGGCGGGGGTGCTGCGTAGGCCCGCTGGCGACGACGACGACGCACTGCGGATGTCTCATGGGGGGATGCTGCATAGGCCCGCTGCAGTCGATGACGACGACAACGACGACGATGACGACGACGACGACGAGGTCGAGGGCGAGGACGACGACGACGGACGACGACGGCGACAATTCACTGCGGATGCCTTAGGGGGGGCGGGGGGTGCGTAGGCCCGCTGTAACTGCGGATGCCCTGTGGATGAGGGGGGTGCTGCGTAGGCCCGCTGGACTCGACGACGACGACGACGGCAGAAAGATTGCAGAGGGGGCGTATGATTAAACAATCAGGTCTGGCTTCTGGATTCTCCTAAGGCTGCCCAACTCAATTTTTTTTGAAGCCCCAGGGGGGAGTATTTTTTCATTGTTTGCTCCAATTGTAGCCCCAGGCGCCCGCCCCTCGGCGAGACGCAGCTGCCGAAACGCACCCCAGCCAGGTAGGACGAAGCCAGGACGAGTATAATTTCGGGTGCGGATAAATCGAAAATCTTTGAGATCTCGCGGCTCTGGAGGATGTCTCGGGCGCCGCGGCCTTCTCAGAGCGTTCCAGAACGCTCTGCGTGCGTTCTTGATCGCTCTAGAACGGATTTGCTCTCGTCCCAGGCCCGCCCGACCAGGGCCGGAACACCTCCAGGAACCAGCGAGACCGTCCGGAAACGCGCGGAAACCGAGCGCTGCCCACGAGGGTCGGGCTGGACGAAAGGGGGGGATTGGGAAAGGGGGGGTTACGAAATTTGCTGCATGCAGCTGGTTTCGGCCCCACCGAGGGGCCCATTCCTCGATACATTGCAGCCTCTGGCGCCGGGAGGCGCCGAGAAAATCAGCTACGTGAGCTGATTCTCCCCCCCCCCTTTGCTATCCCCCCCTTTTCGCCCGGCCCGAGAGGGGCCACCCTCGCCTGGATCTCAGCGCCGCCATCGCCGTCGGCCGCGCCCCGCGGCTCCCGGAGCTCGGCGGCCGCGGCGGCGCGGCGCGCCCTGAGCAGCTGGCGCAGCCGCGCCGAGCGGGCCTCCTCCTCGACCAGCTCGGCTTGCATGACCGCCGCCTCTCGGGGGCGGAGTGCGCCGTCGTCGTCGCGTTCTCGCTTCTCGTCGTCGTCGACTGTCCCCGGCGATGCCTCCCGTCGATGCCGGGGCTTCGGGGCCCGGGCCGATGCGCCCCCCGCGCCCCGTGGGGCCCCGAGCGCGCCCGCGTGGCGGGAGCGCCGCCTCGTGGGCGGAGCCAGGCTCTCCCCTTGATCTCTGCGGGCTGTGCGCGCAGGGCGCGACGAGTGAGCCCCAGGGCCACGACCGCAGGGCGCCCAGCGTCTGGGAGGCGGGCTGGCCGAGGAGGCGAAGCGGCGCAGCCTGAGCGGTGCTTTCTTTTGGGCAAGGGGTGGGGCGGGGAGGAAGGGGCAGGGCAAACATCCGAGACGTGGGCACTCTGTGAGGATCAGGGCTGAACCCAAACGGTGTTGTTCGTTTTCGTTTTCCCATGCTTTTGTCTCGAGCCCGCCTTTACCGCAAAACGAAATCGAAACGAACACCGCCCACGGAATCACCAAAAACACCGTTTAGGTCCAGACCTGGTGAGGATACCGAATCACTGGCCGCTCACGGGGAAGTCCTGCGGCACGGGAGCAGCAGGCGCTCCGCGGCAGCTCTCGTGCGCAAGCCTTTAACACGTTCGCCTGCCGCAGTGCAAATGTGTCACGGCGGGCGACCGCTCGGGTCCCGGAGCAGGGAGCTGGACACATAGCCTCCCTGCAGCACGACACTTAAGTCGGGCGTGTCCCCCTACAGGGGAATTTTCCAGGACAAATTTAAAATAGTCCAACAGTACTCCAAATATGCCCCCAAATACACGAAAAATTGTCCCCAGACTATTTCTCCACTATTTTTGAATATTCCCCCTGTAGAGGGACAGGCCCGACTTAACCCTGCAGCACAACACCCTTTAGCGAAACCGATCCAGCTCCAGGCCCGACGCGCGCATGCTTGCGGCCGTGGACGCCCCCTCGGGGACCGCACAAAAGACAATTCGCTGGAATCGTTTTTTGGCAAGGCGGTGGGGGTTCCGTTCGCCCCAGATCTCTGGCGATCCTACTTGTTTCAGTCCGGATGCTCTTCGTCGATTTCGACCCCTGGGCCCGTTGCTATCCCCATTCCATCCGCTCTGTATCCAGGACGAGGCACTGCCTCGGGGGAAGGGGTCGCAATGAACAAATCACATCGCACGATGCGCGTCTTGATAAAACAAGCGACGGACATGTTTCGTCGTTTCGCCCCCCTGGGGCCCTTGCTGGGACCCCGGGCACTGGGAAAAAGCGGCTCAGGATAAAAAACAGGCCCTGGGGACAGGTCAGGACTTCTGGGGAGCCCGTGCCGAAAGCATCAGGGCGCCAGAACCTCCGGGCGGGGGGGACGGCGCGATGAGAGCGGCCTTCTACTAGGAAGGGGGCTCTGCAGAAGCTGGGGTGCGGGGCGTCTCGGAAGCCCGTCTACGTATACAAGGCCACTGGGAAGCCTTCTGAGAAAGTCCCCCCGCCTTCCCAGAAAGACCCCGCCACCCCAGAAGGCCGCCCACTCGCGCTGGGCTTTCGGGTCGTAACTCGTCTCCCGGCGGCCGTTCGGGACTATGTGGTCACCCCTGGGACGCTCTCGGCAAGGCCGAGAGCCGACGAAGACGTCCCGCCCCGTCGCCGTGATCCCCTCGCCCCGCCGCCGTGTCCCTCGCGCCCTGGCTGTCGCGTCGGTCCCCGTCGCCGCCGCCGTCCCCGTCGCCGCCGCCCTCGCCGCCGTCCGCCGCCGCCGCGGCCGCCTCGCCGCCGCTGGAGCCTTCGCCGCCGTCCGTGAGTCCTGAGCGTGTGCGTGTGTGTGTGTCCCAACATCTTGATCCCCTCGCCCCGCCGCCGTCCGTGGGACCTGAGCGTCGAACATCTTCCCCACTGGGCGTTTTCGCCTGATTTCGGTGCTCAAGACACTCACGGATCGGCCTGGCCAGAGAGATGCCGCAGAAAGATTGGGTCCAAGGCGGTTCCAGTCGCGGGATTTTTCAAACATGTTTCCCTGAACAATGGATGCTGTAGAAAATTCCAACGGCACTCAGAAATATCGCATTTGTAGATCCACAATGAATACATCTGCCGCTGTAATGCCGTGCCGTGCCGTGCACGCGTGCCAAGTTGCGGAATGTGTGAATGTGCCATGCCTTGTTTATGTTTTAGAATGCCAAGAAGAGAGCCGTGCAGTGCCGCACCGGCGTGCCGTACCATGCCTAGGTTCCAGGTTCCAGAATACGACCAATCCCACCAGCCCTCCGGGCGTAGGTGGTTTACCTAATTTTGTCTTCTCCCTGCCGGAACCCTTCCTTCGCCTACTCGGGGGAAGAATTTACTCCTCCTCCAACCCCCTCCACTGCCTCCACTGGGTCTGGACGGGGCGCCCCTCGAGGGGTTAGATCGCCCAAGAGCTCCAAGATGGCCTCAGAGAGTGCAAGATGGCCCCCATGATGGTCCAATATTTCCGAACGTGGTTCAAGAAAGCCTCCGACGTACCTCCAAGAAACCTCCAGACGGCCTCAAGACGGTTTCCCTTGCCCTTCGAGACCTCAAGGACCTCCCCAAGATGCCAAAATAGCTCCCAAACCGAATGACAATGAATGTTTGTTGTCCTCTCGCCTTTTCGCTTCCGATGGACCTCGGAGGCTTCCAGATGGCCCCAAAACGGTCCAAGACAGCCCTACGAGGGGCTCAAGAGAGCCCCCAGACGGCCCCAAGTACACCCAAAAGCGTTCCAAGAGCGGCTCAAAAGGGCCCCAAGGCAACATGTTGGAGCCTCCGGGGGTGGAGGGGACCTCAGAGTATTGCCCCTCTTTCTTTAACTCCTGGGGACCAAGATGGCCCCAGGAGGTCTCTCAGAGCCCCTAGAGAGCACCACGAGAGTTCCAAGAAGGCCCACACAAAACCCCAAGAGCGCCCCAAAAGGCACTGGGTGGACCCAAGAAAGCACCAAGATGGCTCCAAGGGGCCTCCGAGAAAACACGTCCAAGGCGACTGTTGCCCTGCATGTTTTTGCACACTTCCCTGATCAAGGCAACTCGCCTGGCGATCTGCTTCTGGATGGGTTGGAAGGTGTCAGCGGAACTCCAAAAAGGATTCGAGTAAAGCCGCCGTGTCAGGGAGCTCATATGTGAAATGATTCAATACACTCCTACCGGTCCTGGGCGCAACAAAATCAAATACCCGAGAATTCTTGAACCAACGGAAATATACAAGATAATTCCGAAACGTCGTCCAAGAACAACACAATAACGCCATGGCGGCATGGGATACATTAGCCCAGCCATTCAACATTTGTTCACGCCGCTTCTGCGGCACCCGCGGAAGCGGCTTTGACGCTGCCCTGATTCGAACAATTTCCCAATCAATTGTCTCTGGATGGGCTGGTGGGGACACAAAAAACGTCCAGACTTTACAATGACAGACTGCGCCCAGGTGCCGTGCCTTGCCGTGCCTCGGTTGTGGAATGTCCCAAACCACGAATGCTGTAAACGGGTGCAACATGCATTTGAAACCGCTTACTTCTTGGACACAACACGCGACACATCTGCCGCTGGCCATGTCGTGCCGTGCCCTCGTAGCGTGCCATGCTTCGGTTCCAGAACACGTCGCACATTTACAGTGCCGTGCTGCGCGCACGTGCCGTGCCCTGCCGTGCCTAGGTTCTAGAATACCCCAAACAAAATGCTGTAAAAAGGTGCGAAATGCATTTAACATATCCGCTTCTTGGACACCAGACGCGAAGCATCTGCCGCCAGCCACGTCGCGCCATGCCCGCCATGGTCGCGTGCAGCGCCTAAATTCTAAAATGCGACAACCATCTGCCGTGCAATGCCGTGCCGTGCCCGCGTGACGTGGTATGTCGCGCCCAGGTTCTAAAATGCGATCATTTTGCCGTGCCCGCGTGCCGTGCCTATGCTTTGGAAGCCCCAATGCTGTAAACAAGCAAAACGCACATCAGAAGCCCATTCCTAAATTTTGTTCCGTCGCAGCACGACAGAAACAATCCGCACGCGCGCTCAGCAAACGGGGCGCTATTGCGAATTGCCCAGGTGCAGAAGGAGGGAGGACGAAAGAGGCGCGGCCGCGAGAGGGCGGGGGAGGGAAACGAGTGCGCTCACGCAGCGGGGGCCGCGGCGGGGCGCCCAGGGCGGCCAAGCCGGAGCAGCACCGCTGGCAGTGGGCACGGGGCGGCGTCGCAACCACATCCACGGGCCGGGCAGCGGCTGTCCAATTCCGGGGCACCGAGCGCGAAACATCTGCCGCCGACCGCGTCGCGCCGTGCCCGCGTGCCGCCCACGCCTCATATGCTAGAGTGCTGAAGTTGTGCCTTCCCGCGTCGTGCCTCCGTGCAAGAGTGCGGAACACGTGCCGTGCCCTGCGTGCCATCTTGTGCCCGAAGAAGGTGCTGCGCGCAAGTTCCGGAACGCGAAGGATGAGCCGTGCCGTGCCTGGGCGCCGTGCCGCTCCAAAGCTCTCGGACGCGAGAAAGATGTTGTGGCGTATCCGCGCGCCGTGCCATGCTCGGCTTTTCGGCACTTGCCACCCACACCAAGCACGCCCGCTTTGATGCGTATGGCCACGCAGCGTTGCTATTCCAACGTAATTTGCTAAGGGCAGTCATCAGCTCCGCGGCGCCAGGTCTCAGGGGATGTGTGGGGGCGGCAGAAAGAGGATGATGACGATGACGATGCTGATGCTGATGATGATGTTGTTGATGATGGTGATTGTGATGTTGGTGGTGGCGATGGTGGTGATAGTGGTGTTGCTGCTGCTGGCGATGATTATGGTGATGATGCTGCTTATGATTTCATGATGTTGATGATGCTGATGCTGATGAGGCTCATGATGGCGATGGGGATGATGAGGATGATGAAGCGGAGAAGCGTTGAGGATGGAGGGCATGGGGGGTGCGGAGGTCGCAGAGGGACAAGGACAGGGACAAGACGTAGGAGGATGAGGCGGAGAAACCCAAGGAAGAACTGGAGGAGGAATCTGGTCTGCGCGCCCGACGTAGCGTTTCTTTTACTCGTGCCACTGTTCCTTCTGCATGTACCTTTCGTTGCCACGCCTTTTACCTTCACCTTCAGCGACAGCAGCGGCTTCCGCAACGCTTGATGTACTTCACCTCGAACTTCATGCACCGCCACGCCTTGAGGATCAACGCCCCCGTCACGTCGATGCTCACCATTGTCCCGGAGATGATCGGCATGGTCCCGAAGCTCGGCACCGCACCGTAGATGATCCACATCGCCACGGAGATGGCCAACACATTCCCGAAACTCACCGTCGCCCCGTATATTGTCAGCACCGTCCTGTGGTTCAGCATCGTCCCAAGGATGATCTGCATGATCCAGTAGATGTAAAGCATTGTCACGACGCTCAATTGCGTCCTGCAGCTGACCAGCATGATCACGAAACTGTACTTCATGGCCCCTGATCCCAACACTGCTGCGGACCTGGGTATCGGCCACTTGCTCGACAAATCGTGTTGTTCTGCACGCCCTCCGTGCTGCGCTCTTGGACAGCACCTCTGTCGCCTCCACCGTGTCGACCAGCTCACGATCCAATTGAGAACGAGTTTGAACATCACATGCTTCATCACCATACGCAGAGTGATCATGCAGCATGTCCACGCTATCGTCTTGACTGTTGCAACGAGGGTCAGAGAACCAATTTCTGTGTTGGTGACCATCAGCAGTGCGGGCCGTGATGTTCACACCCAGCTCTCGAAGGACTCTGGCAGCATCGTGCCCACCAGGACGAAAATGGGGGGGCCCCTTCGTTGAAAAGGGAGAGCGGCACTGCAGGCAGCACTTCAGGATTACCAGCATCAAGCAACACAACATGATGACGAATAATGCTATGCCGATGCGACCCGCCACCTCCGCGAGGAGGAACGCCATCACTGAATGAATCAGAACCGTTGTCCCACCATGGGTTACTATCGACATATTCCCACAACGTCGTCGTCTGCGTCCAAGACAACCGCCGTGGTCACCATCACCGCCAGAATCGCCGTGGCCATGATCATGCGGTGCATCGTCATCGCCTCCGTGGTCGTCGTCTTCATGGTCACTATGCTGCTTGAAGGTCAAACTGACGTGCGACTCTCCAGCAGAACTCAGATGTCCATGATCCACGACCACACAACTCCGAAGACGACGCACCATTTCAAGAGAGAGCAGCTCTGTAAAGCTGTTGCCAATGCTCAGGACGAACTTGGGGAGCAACGCCCGGTGCACCACGATCTTGTTCACGCGGTACGTCATCTTGACCCTGCACTGGCGACCCAGCTGGAGCTGCTGAACCACCCAGTGCAGCCTGGCAGAGGACACCATGGCGGGCGCGGGAGGGGAAAAGAGAGAGGGGCAGCCGCAGGTGCGGCTGGGCGGCCCACGGGCAAGCAGGTGCTTGCCCAAGTGTACTAGAAGGCGAGGGGGAGGGAGGAGGAGGAGGAGGGATGAGGAGGAGGAGGAGGAGGAGGAGGAGGAGGAGGAGGAGGGATGAGGAGGAGGAGGAGGGGAGGAGGAGGAGGACGAGGACGAGGATGGCGACGAGGAGGAGGACGAGGAGGAGGAGGGATGAGGAGGAGGAGGAGGGATGAGGAGGAGGAGGAGGAGGAGGAGGAGGAGGAGGAACCCGAGGACGAGCTGGCGGAGGACGACGAAGGGGGGCACTGCCGCTCCCAGGGGCTCCGCGCCGCCGCCGGAGGCGCCTCGTGGTGGAGCAGGCCGGCCCGGGCGCGCGCGGGGCTGCACAGCCGCGCCGCCCGGAGCTCCAGCGCACCCTCCAAGTCCTGCTCGGGAGGTCGCTCCGCAATGCAGTCGGCCCGTATCAGAAGGATGCGCGATAAGGATGCAAGTGCCCTAGACGCCCATTCCGAAGCTTTTCGAGCGGGGCTCGGCTAACGAAAGTGGCCAAGGATGGGCCGAGGAGGTAAAGATGCAGTACCCTCGGGAAAGTCGCTCATCCTTACTGTGCGGGTCGACTTTAAGGTCGGGACCAGTACAAAAGAACGTCCCTCAAGTACATGAGACCCTCCGCCGGTTAGAACACCCCAAACCATATAAGACCACTCGAGGGCACACTCCCCCAGAATGTACCAGAACATCCCCCCAAACAAACACGAAGAACATTGGGGTACCCTCCCCGAACCGATCTCGATCTTCTACCTCGGTCTGGCTGTACTGGGACATTAGTTGGAACCCCAACAATACGGGGAATCTGATTGCTCCCCCACGGCGGCCCCTGTTGATGATCGGGGGGGGATGAGGATCTCTGATGGTGATGGCGATGACGAGGGGGAGGACGAGGTTACGGGGGGTCCCGGGCAGCATCCAAGACCTTTCGAATTTCCATGGGGGCGCCGCAGCGAAACGGCCCGAAAAAGTCGGCGCTGGGCCACCCACAGGCCCCTTCCGGAAACCCTGAACCCGGAAATGATGTCATTCTTTGGGGGCGCTTCTTTTGCTTCCGCCACTCTCCGCTGGCGTCTGTCGGGTCGGGCGAAAGGGGGGGATAGCAAAGGGGGGGTTTGAGAATCAGCTCACGTAGCTGATTTTCCCGGCGCCTCCCGGAGCCGGATGGAGCTATGTATCGAGGAATGGGCCCATCGGTGAGGCCGAAACCAGCTGCATGCAGCAAATTTCGTAACCCCCCCTTTCCCAATCCCCCCCTTTCGCCCGGCCCGAGTCTGGCGGCGGAGAGCGGGCCCCGTTGTGCTTCCGCCGGCCTCCGCGCCGGCCCTCCGCCGAGGAAGAGAGGCACGCCACTTTCTTCTTCGACTCGCGACGGTGGGGCCCGTTCTGGAATGCCCCTGGCACGGCAGCCCGCCTTGATTCAGGGGGACGTAAGACCTGGGTACAGGGGACTCGGAAATCCCCGAAGAGGTCGTCAAAAAAATGACGAGGCCGACCCTGCATTTTGACGAGGCCTCCCGCTGCAGACATCCCACGAAACTCCTCCTCGTCAAAATCCGAGGCGCGGTCGTCAAAAAACGATGGCGAACCCGAGTCCTGGCAAACCCGGGTCTTACGCTCCCCCAATTGATTGGCCTCAAGGCGAGATCGCTGCCCAACGGACGGGAATGAGAGCCATCGGCGGTGGACAAGCCTCCCTTTAGCAAACCTCCCCTCGAGGAGAACGGCCTGGAACCGACACCGACGGACCTGGGCCCGCAAAAATGACGGCCGCGACGTCCTCTCGCGAAGCGAAAACGGCCAGTTCCTTAATCGATGTCAGGGCAGGTCTGTCCACCCCTGAAGCCTGGGCCCTGCGACGAGGCTGCCCGGGCCGCTGGATCTTCGAGGCAGGGTCGGAGTCCACACGGGTTCGAGGCGGCCTGCATTCGGCCCCTCGCCCCCTCACGCGATCCAGCCCTCCCACTCTCGGATATAGTCAGGACCCAAGGTAAGGGGATCCGGTTAGTAGCAGGGCCCTGGAGCCCCTAAATTGGCTAGAATTACTAAACCAAGTCTGCCGTAGCGTAGCTTGTTTTTTCGGGTGTCGGCAGTTCCGGTTAGTGGAACGGGCGGGGGGGGCGTCCCCCAGTACACATCACTAAACCAGGTCCCGTTAAACCCAGGTCTGCCAACGCCCGACACTCCCAGCGCCAAACAAACCCATCCGACTAGAAAACACCTCACGGAATCTTCTGGTCGTCCCCATGGCGCCCAATAGCGCGCCCAATCGAACGCAAAGCAGACTTCATGCATCTCCCTCACGTGGCGTTATTGGGCGCTATTGGTCGCTATTGAGCGCATTTGGAGCGCTATTGGGCTCGATTGATCGCTATTCTCCGATCCACATCCAATCGAGCGGAAACCTTCGTGATTTGCGACCTAAGTTCTACACCCCGAAAGAAATCCCCCCCACGCTTATTGAGCCTCGGACCACCTGCGAACTGAACTGAGCGAACCTTGAAAGTCCCAAAACCGTGTGATGATGGATCGCGCGGTCACCTCGAAATCTCCAGGGATCTCACCGCGCGGTCCGTCACCACACGGTCTTGGGACCTCGGAGGCCCCGGTCGCCCGAGACGTCCCGAGTCCCAAAACCGTGCGGTGACCCCGAATCCTCTCTGCATCATACCAACCCTCCTCCGAATGCTTCCCGCGCCATAGCTCGAGTCTCCAGCGGCCGTTCGAAACGATCTGGGCACGCCCCGACCGCTTTCGGCGAGGCGCAGCTGCCAGAACGCATCCTTAGACAGGAAAGCCGGTAAAAATATATTCGAAAACCCCAAGTCCCTAAGCGCGACGCCATGTTATTTCCACAATGTGGAAGCCTCGACCCCTTCCCTGGGACCGTGTTTTCGTCCTGCGCAGTTTCTGGCAACCCCAAAGACCGGCGATGTCCCCCAAAGGCTGCAAATACATCAACCTCCCGTCCTGATTGTCGGGTTGTTGTCACCACGCCGTCTGGGGGCCACACCACGCAGTGTGGTCACCATACTGCCTGGGGGGCCCTCCCAGAAGAGAGGCCTCCCAAATGGGGCTCGAACAGATGGGGTCGGAGGATCGCGCCGCGTCGCCGATGACAAAGAAGAACGGAGGGGCTCTACTGGCCGCGAAAAGCTTCGGCCACGAGTGTGTTCGCTGACCTAGATCCGAGGAGCGGCTCGAAAACCAGAGCCCCTCCTGACCCCGAAGTGGCCCTTACTTCAGCGTCCTGACTGTAGGAGGCCTACGACAGAATAATAAGAAACAACGGCATCAACAGAAACGTTTGGCGCTCCGCGCGGATTTCTTCGATCTGAGCTGGACCCCCCTCCCTGGCGCGCGGAGCGTGCCAGGGGCGGCGCCGGAGACGCCGCCAGGGGGGTCCAGCTTGGATCCAAGAAATCCGCGCGGAGCGCCAAGAATTTATGTTTATGCAATGTTTTCTTCCTCGGTTCGGGGATCTTCTGACCAGGGTCAATCCAGACCTGGGTCAGTCAAGCCTTGCAGGATCCTGCAAGATCTTGCAGGATCCTGCATCCAAACCCAGGTCAATGCGCACCTGGCCCTGCAGGACCCTGCAAGATCTGGCGCTCTGGCTGGCCCCCGCTTGCATGGACCCCGGTCTCTTGAGCCCCTGTCGATGGGAGAGGCGGGGGAGGATGATGGGTGAGGGGGATGGAGGATGGAGGAGGAGGAGGAGGAGAAGGAGGAGGAGGAGGAGGAGGAGGAGGAGGAAGAGGAGGAGAGAGGAGGAGGAGGAGGAGGAGGAGGAGGAGGAGGAGGAGGAGAGGGGGAGAAGGAGGAGGAGGAGGAGGAGGAGGAGGAGGAGGAGGAGGAGGAGGGAGGAAGAGGAGGATCAGGAGGAGGATCAGGAGGAGGATCAGGAGGAGGAGGATCAGGAGGAGGAGGAGGAGGAGGAGGAGGAGGAGGCCCCTGCGCTGGCCGCACGCCGCCCCTGGGGCGGGGCCTGCAGCCTGCCGCGCAGCAAGGCCTCCGCGGCGTCCGCCGAGGCGAGCCGCTTCGTCAGGCCGGCGCTGCGCGGGCGGCGCTCGCCCGGCCACGCCATGCTCGGGCACGGTCGGGTCGGACGGAAGGCGAAGCCACGAGGAGCAACTCGGACGCAGACTTTGAGCAGGGACCGACCGTCCCTGCGTTCCTGTAGGCCCACCACGAGATGCTCCTAGAACCCAGAAGTGTGTTCTAAGAACAGCAGTGTTCTGAGAACGTGAGCCCGATGTGATAAAACGAGACAGTCCCAGCCAGAAATGTTCTAAGAACATTTCGTGGAAACTACAAAAGGTTCTTAGAACATTCCTTGGTGGGCCCATAGGCGAGCCGGGACGCTTCGCCACTGTTTGAGGAAGGCGAAGCCACGAGGATCAAATCGGACGCAAATTACTCGGGAATCTCTGGGATCCGGCGGCTCCGGAGGACGTCGCGGGCGCTGCGCGGCCTTCTCAGAGCGTTCTGTAGCGCTCTGCGAGCGTTCGGGAACGCTCTGGAACGGATTTGTCCTCGTCCTAGCTCGGCGGCGAGCGAGGGGGGGGGGGAAGTGAGGAGGAGGCCTTCTCAGAAGGCGGCGGGAGACTTCTCAGAGGCCCTCGCGCCTTCCGAGAACCTGCCTGTGCCCTCGGGGGCTCAAAGAAGACTTCTCAGAAGGCCAGGGGGACTTCCGAGCCCTCTGGGGAGGCCCGCCCCCTCCTCGCCTGCCCCCCCCCCCTGGGCCGGCCGCCGACTGGCCCCGTCCGCAGGGCCCCGGCGCCCGCGGCGCTGGGCGGGGCCCTGCTGCATGCGGCGCGCGCGGGCCGCATGCTGCGGCGGGGGCCGAGGCCCTTTGGGCGCGCCCCGGGCGCCCCGCCGCCGCGGAGAGCCGTCCTCCGACCCCCAGCCAGCTCGCACGGCCGGGCTGCTGGGCAGGAGAGCAGCAGCCTTCGAGGGCCCTCCGCCGGCCAAGCTGCAGAACGTGCGAGGGCCCCCCCCCCCCCCCCCCCCCCCCCCCCTCCCCCCTCCCCAGGAGATGGACGAGGGCATCCCGCGGGCACGAGGAGCCTTGGGGTAAGTTATCCTCCCCGAGCCGACCTCGATCTCTCGCGCCTCGGTCCGACGGCACTCCAGCAGGGGGGGCCGAGAGGTCGGGTCGGGCGCGAAGGGCCCCGGCCCCCTCGCGTTGGCGCACGCCGTCGCGGCAGGCGGCTCTTGGCCATCCTGGCCCCTCTCGGGCCTCGGGGCCTCTGGCTGGGTCCTGACCAACGCGACGGCCTGTGGTGGACATCTATTGACACCTCTCTTTCGCTGTCGTGTCAAATTTCAGTCAACCCGTGCAGTAAGGATGCGCGATGAGGATGCGAGGGCCTCGGAAGGCCACGTCGAAGCTTTCCGAGCGGGGCGCGGCCGAGGAAAGTGGCCGAGGATGGGCCGAGGAGGCAAGGACGCAAGAGTACCCTTGGAAAGGTTGCCCATCCTCACTGCGCGGGTTGGCTGTAGCAACCACGTCTACATCGCAAAGCGGTTGGGGGGCTTGGAAGGGGCATGCCATTCCTTGACAAAAACTTTGCCCCAATTTGTGGCCGCCTTGATCGCCGCGGCGACCTCCGAAATCGACCCGGAGGTGTGGTTCGGGGTCGGACATCACGCAACGACAAACCCCCTCGCGTCATGCACAAAATCGCGGCTGGCGGCTTTTGGCAATTTTCGGCCCCTGCGGAGCCCTGACTGGGCCCCGGGACCGTCCAAAAAACGGCTCGGGATGAAAACAACTGGTCCCAGGGAAAGGATCGGGACTCGTGGGTGTCGACGTTGCGAAACTAAAGCACGACGTCGCGGGCTTGGGTCCGGGTCCGGGTCGGACGAACGGAGGGGGGTACGAAATCTGCTGCATGCAGCTGGCGGCGGCGCGGGGGAGCGCGCCGCACGGTGCCCCGTCCGAGAACTTCGGCCGCCCCCCCCCCCCCTTGGGAGGAGAAAGGACGACACGTAAGCGATGGAAGCAAACACGTCTTACGCGAGATGACATAGCAGCCTTACCCGGTGGCTTGCGCGGGCCGCCAGCGAGGCACGCTACATAGGAAACGAGGATCACATACTCGCAACCTGACGCGGGCAACTTGCGCGCGAATGTCGGCGCAGTCGACCCGTTTTGTTTTGCGTTTGTCGCTCACATAGGTTTGAAACTTCACAAGGCCTGCACGGACGCTCTGGGTCCACGCTGGGCCATGGGGAACGCTTGGGGGGGACCAGCTCGGGGGGGAAAACATCGACCTGGGGCAGCACAGCTTGCCCTGGACCAGCGTGACGGCGCGTAGGGCTCCATCGGCGCACCACCCACTTGCTGCTCGTTTTGGTCAGCGGCGAAGGAAGCCGCCATAGCTATCGAACATTTGGGATACGTATACGTGTTGAACAGCACGCGGGCAGGCAATAGCGCACAACATCGGCCTGGAATCGGCGATACAGTCCCGACGGATCAGCGAAGAGCCCCGACAACGACACCACACGATCCTGGGCGGTGTCGACCATCAAGCCACTATCGGCGATCAATGAACGATTCTGGTGGTCGATGCATCCCCCCGTGAGCCTATAACACCCTGTAGTCAACTGTATAATGAGGATGCAAGATAAGACTGCAGGGGCCTTGGGAAGCCATGCCGCCACTTTGCGAGCGGGGCGCGTCCAGCGAAAGCGGCCACGGCTGAGCCGAAGGGGAAGGACGAAAGGGTAACCTTGGAAGGTCGATCATCCTTACTGTGCGGGCTGGCTGTAGCGTTGCGCCTGCTGGGCACCCCTCCCCTGGCGCGACAAGTTGTTGGTGCACGGCTCCGCCCCTGCGGGATTCGCACCCAGAGGGCCAAACAGAACTGCACACTTGAAGGGGCCCTGGGACACACAAATAAATAGACACACAAATAACTGGATTCGCCATCTTTGACCATATTTTTTTGGATTTTTGTCTTCCCCCCACTTCCCAAATTTTCTCATATCTTCTGGGGAATCGACGACCCATTGCTTCCGTGTGTCTTCCCCTCCTGAACACCGTCGGAGGTCCGAGCGGACCTCTCGTGTGCGCGCTCTGGGCCCCCTTCCTCTGGCGGCAAAGAGTGCTCGTGCAACCTGTGCGCTCCCACCGATCCTGGCCAGGAAGGGACATGCCATCCCACAGCCGCAGAAGCAGAAACCCTTCGGAGGTCCGCGCGGCGGACGTCTCTGGGACGCGATGGAGCCCCTCCCGGGCGCGCCATGGGGCGGCGCCGTGGGCGGCGCCGCCAAAGGGGGTCCAGGCTTCCCGCGCTGCTCTCCCGCGTCACCTGGAAATCCCGCGCGGGTTGCGCAGCGCGGAGCGACGAGGGCTGGTAGAGCGACGGCCGTCCGATGACGGCACGCACGGAAGGATGGGAGGCAACCGAGACGAAGATCCCCAGCGCTGCGCTCAGCATGCCTGATTGCGGCAGCCGCGGCGAGGTACAACTCCTCGCGGACACCACCACGGAATTAGAATCGTTCACTCTGGCTGGCGTCTCGGGTGCAATGCCAGACGTGCAACCGCCGAATGAAGCCCATGCCTCACAACTCAAACCCACGTCTCGTCCCTGTTCTCCTTCGGCTCTACCTTCACGGCCGTGCGCAAGGTACCGATACGCTGATACGACGCGCAAGCACACAAGGCGAGCTCGCCGCTGTTTTCTGTCTCGGCGTCTACACCCCAGCAGCGTCACTCACCAACATGCAATGAGGATGGCGATCCTCGATCCCATCCTACCCTGAACGGAAGACCAGAGATAACAGGGCGGGAATCAGGGGCACTACATGGTAGTAGACCAGACGTCTTAAAATCGCAAGGATTTCTACACAGACTTTGTTCAGAGCAGGTGCCACCTTATAATGAAGCATCGCTGCAATGAAACTGGCAATTCCTGCTGCGGCACGACAGAGAGTATTAATGCACATTGCCACTCTCGCTTGTTTCGCAATAAGAATAACAAACAACTGCGCGAACATGGACTTTCGGACGATGTCCGCGCGGGTCGAAACGCGCCAGGGGCGGCGCTGGAGGTGCCGCCAGGTCGAGCTCAGCGCCGCCCCGAGAAATCCGCGCGGATCTCCGGAAGTGCATTCTGTGTGGATGCCCTTCTTCGGGCAACGTCGGTGCTAGGCACTCGCGGTGGAGCATCCACATCCTCTCTCCATTCTGGCCAGGCCAATCCCTCGGGGTCGGTGCCCGTTGATGTAGTGGGGGTGAGGGAAGAGGAGGACAAGGAGGGCTCCATCTCTGTTTTCTGCGGTGGTGTCGGTCGGTGGGCGCGCCCTCCTGGCCCAACCAGGAGGCGCGCCCACCGACCCTGGGCCCCGGGGGCCAGAGGAGGCCCCAAGGCTGGCGGCCACTGGGGAATGCCCCTCTCCCCCGGGGCCGCCTTGCCACCCCGAGCCGTTCTTCGGCGGCCCCGCGCGGGGCCCGGGGCCCACGAGAGCGTGGAGGGGCCGGCCGTCGCGACGGCTGCTGCGGCGCCAGGCCTGCAGGCCCTCCTCCAGAGATCGGCCCCTCTGCAGGAGCGAGGAAGAGCGACATCACCACCGCCACCGGGAGTCACCAGCGGGAGGGTCCCCCTGGTGGCGTGGTCTCCCACTCTCGCTCGAGAAATCTCTTACCCCCCGCTCGGGGAGGCATCGAGTACCTCCTCGCTGGAGGTGGCACTCCTGGTGGTGACGTTGTGTCTCCTTCCCCCGACTCTGAATCGTACGGGTGTGCGTTCTGGCCAGAATTCCAAGGCGGACCCAGCCGCGACGACGTGGAGCCTCGCGGATGCCCCAAAGGGGCCAATAATCTAAAAAATGCGATTGAAAACAAATTCGAACCTCGAAGTTCGAGCTTCCAATGCATTGAGCGGCTCGGGTGGACCTACTACCATGGTCCCCTCCAGGACCCTGAATGCTTATTTGCAAACGTGGAATTCTTGACCCCCCCGACGCCTTTATCCGCCACCGTGCCCTGTGCACGTTGAGGCGTAGAAGAATGCCATCGGCTGCCTGGCACGGTTTCTGAGTTCTAATATTCATGGGGCAAGACGGCCCATGCAAGCAACCAAGGGCACCAAGATGGCCCAATATGAACTCAAGATGGCCCTCATTACACGACTCCAAAAAGGCCCAAAAGGGTCACGAGAGGACCTTCAACAGGGCCTGGAAAAGCCAAGATGTTGTATTTCCATTAGGGTTTGGGAAGAAACTCGCGTTCTCGCATTTTCGGGCGTCCGTCAATTCAAAACTGCCCACGAGGCCTCGATGATTGCCCCATGACGGACCAAACTGTCCCCGAGAGGGTCCCAAGATGGCCTGAGCGGTCCGCCGGACAGCGCAGCCTGCCCGAGACCAGCGTGGCGGCATGTAGTGCGTCGGCAAGTGGAGCGGCGGCGGGTCCGCCGGCAGAAGCCGGGTGGAAGCTCAGAGGCCTGCGCGTTTGGTCTCTGCCCAGCCTCGCTTCTTGAACAACCAGGGACAACCGCTCCGGCCGATGGTCCAAGAGGTATCCAAGACGGCCCCAAGAAGGCACAAGAGGACCCAAGGCGGCCTTAGAAGGCATTTCGACGGCCCAAGACAGCCCTGTGACGACCCCCAGACACCCACCATGCGGACAAGAGGACCTCAAGACGGCGTAAGAGGGCCATACGGCGGCCCAAAAGGGCCCCATGGGGCCCCCAAACCTGCCTCACAGGAGGCCGAGAGAGCCCCAAGAGGGACCAAACGATTTCCATGAGAGCTCCGCACAGAGTGAAGGCGCCAGGTGCCCCACACACGTGACGGGTTTCCTCTTCCTTCTCCTCCTCCTCCTGTTCATCCTCTTTCTTGTCCTCCTCCTCCTCCTCACCATCACCATCAGCATCACCGTCATCAACATCACCACCA